GAGATTTGAACAGCCGAACTGCAGATAACAGTCAGCTGAAGTGGCTGCAGTACAGCACTCTAACCACTGCGCCACCTCGGCTCTTCATGTGAGCCTTTGCAGGAAGCAACTTTGTTCATTTTGGTCAGTTTAAACTCTGAAGCTCCATTTTGATTGTGTGCTCCGTGTGGTTTACAAAGCTAATTGGCAATTAGGTCTTTGGCAACGTTTCAAGGGAGATAAAGGTGGGTGTTTATCAGCCTTATCCCAAAAGACTGTGGCAGACTTCTGTCGGACTCTTTACAAACTATTTGTGACTCGTTACGGGCTGTGAGTGAACATAATTCACAGCCGTTGAAAGAAAAAGAGGTTTTTGGGGACTGTGTGATGTTTACTGTCTCAGGAAGCCTAGGTCAGAACATTAGTAGCATTTGTTTTGCTGTTTGATAGCCAAGGTTTGACTATAATAATATAATAATTACCGTATTTTTCAGAGTATAAGACACACCATTTTCCCCCTTAAGAGAGTGTGGAAATGTTGGTGCATATAATACACCGAATACAACTATTTTTGGCCTCCTGAAGCCCCGCCCCCACATTCCATTTTTGTGAAAAATGAGCAGGCTTCAGCAGGGCTGGGGGAAGAGGAAAATGCCCCCCGTTTTGGTGAAAAACAGGGGCATTTTTGCCTTCCCCGAGCCCTGCTGAAGCCTGCAGAGTTCTTCTGGGAGGTGGGGAAGGCAAAAACTTTTTTTGCTGACTTACCTCTTTGAAATCTTGGTGCATCTTATACACCAGTGCATCATATAGTCCAAAAAATACGGTAATACCATTGTTATTAATAATAGCAATAGCACTTCGACTTCTGTATCACTTTACAGTGCTTTACAGCCTTCTCTAAGCGGTTTACAGAGTCAGCCTATTGCCCCAACAATCTGGGTCCTCATTTTACCCACCTGAGAAAAATGTTTACTCACATTTTACCCACAGAATAGAAGCCTGTGTCAACCTTGAGCCTGGTGAGATTTGAAGTGCTAAATTGCAGGCAGACGGCAGTCAGCAGAAGTAGCCTGCAGTACTGGATTCTAACCACTGCACCGCCATGGCTCATAATAATAATTATAAAATAATACTATTATTATTACCATTGTTATACCGAAACGCAGACTAGGAGTATGATATCAAAGGTCTCTTTGCTGATTGTCTAGCAAATACTATTATCACATTTAACCCAGTGATGTGATTAGCTAAATACACATCATTAAGAAGGTTTGAGTCTTAATCATGTAAAAAAATGATTACATGATAAAATGATGTATGAAAAAGAAAAAACAGGCCAATTACAACCTTTTATTTCATTAGATGTAAACTTTTTGTGCAGCTTTAGTAGTACTGGGTATGCGAACAACCTACCTAACCTAAAAATGATGCACAGAAGAAATGGGAGGAGATGAATAGTTGTACGCAAAGCTCAACTGTGCCATATCCATTGTATATAATAGCTGTACACAAAGCTCAGATGTAACGCAAAGTTACACAAATGTATCATAAACAAAAACTTGTGTTTATTACGTGTTGATCTTTAGAGAGAACATTGCTGTAGACCTCGTCAAAAGACTTAATTTTTTTTTCATTTGTCTCTGATATGCGTGGGTTTGTATTCCTCCCTTCTTCATAGATGGTGTTTCATTTAACCCTAATGCTCCCAGTTCTTGGTTTCTCTAACTCTATAATAATTCACTTTTTTGGCATGTATTGGTGACCTTCTACCGCTGCACCATAGAGAGTATTTTAACTTACTGCACCTGTGTATCAGGGGTAGGTTTCGGCTGCTGCTACTGCCAGTTTGCTCAGAGGCTTCATATACACACACACACACACATGCACAGTACTAAAAGAATGCTTCTGCGCATGTGCAGAAGGAAAAAACAAGATGGTGGCGCCTACGGTGCAGCTGAGAGAACCGGTTTGGGGACATGGCAGGCTGAGTTACTAACCTTTTTCCCTCAAAAAAGAGGCTGAAAATCTGGGTGCGTCTTATACACTCCATATAACATTTTTTGCCTCCTGAAGCCCCGCCCCTTCACCAAAATGGCCGTGCATAGCTTTTAGAAGGCTTTCAGAATGCTCCTGGGGCCTGGGGAGGGCAGAAATGAATGAAAAATGGGCTATTTTTGCTCAATTTCCCCCACTCCCACCCCAGGCCCCAGGAGCACTCTACAAGTCTCCTAAAGGCTTGTATAATGCCCTTTTTTTTTAACAAAAACGGGCCCTTTTTTGCAAAAAGATGGGCCAGTTTTTGCTCATTTTTGCCCCCCCACTCCCCAGGAGCACTCTACAAGCCTCCTAAGGGCTATTCATTCCCTTTTTTGAACAAAACAATGGGTCCATTTTCATGAAAAACGGGCCGTTTTGGGGAGGTTTGCAGAGTGCAAAACCTTTTATGTTTTTTTTTTTTTGCCTTTTCAAAACCTTGGTGCAACTTATACTCTGAAAAATATGGTACCTACTCAGCTGAACTGGTCTGAACCGGTAGGAACCCAACTCTGCTGTGTATGGTTTGCCAATTGCACAGTGGCAGATAGGACAGCACTCCAAAGGGTTAACGTCGTTGCCCAGAGGGTCACTGGTTGCCCTCTCCCCTCTTTGGAAGAGCTTTATAGCTCCCGCTGCCTAAAGAAAGTTCCAAAACATTCTTAAAGATCCATCTCATCCTGGGCATCCTTTTTTTGAACTATTACCATCTGGCAGACGGTACAGGAGGATAAAAACAAGAACAAATAGGCTGAAAAACAGCTTCTATCCAAGCGCAGTAATTATATTGAATTCTACGGTATAGCGCCATGATGGCATGCGTGTCATAGGTGGCACATAGAGCCATATCTTCCGGCACACAAGCTGTCAGTTCCAGCGCTCATGCGCGCGCCAGCCAGCTAAATTTCGGCCTTCCGGAGGGCTGGGGGAGGCCGTTTTTGCCCTCCCCGGGCTTTAGGAAAGCCTCCGGAACCTGGGAAGGACGAAAATGGTCCTTTTCACCCTTCCCAGGCTCAGGAGGTTTACCTGAAGCCTGGGGAGGGCAAAAACCGCCTCCCTCAGCCCCCCCAGAGGAAATACGAAGCTCAGTTTGGAAGCAAGTAGTGCGAGGCATGTGGGGGTTGTGCACACATGGGGGCACACTTTGCATTGTGGGTATGTGCACGCTCATATTTTTGGCACCCAACAACAAAAAGGTTAGCCATCCTTGCTATAGTGCAACGTTAATGCAATATCGAGTTTTCAATTTCAATTATACAGCATGTGAAGGTTGCGTGTTTTATAGTTACAATGTACACTGAAGATGGCATTTAATTTCGTTGTACGATGTGCAATGGCAACAAAGTAAACTAAACTATTTGTTTCCAGGGCTCCTTGTAAGAGAAGTCCAGATCGAAGTCTCTCGCCAGCAAGTGGAGGAGCTGTTTGGCCTAGAAGATTACTGGTGTCAGTGTGTGGCCTGGAGTTCTGCTGGAACCACCAAAAGTCGCCGAGCGTACGTTCGGATAGCATGTAGGTTTGGGAAAGATTCTTTTCTGTTCCTTCTTTTTCTTTTGGGAGATCTTTTCACATTATGACTTCGCTGCTGGTTTTTTTCTGCATACCCTGCAGAAAAAAGGGGAATATCACGAACAGCCACATTAAAATAATTCACTCGCTCAAACGTTTTATAGACTCTTAGCTAATGAAAGGCCTGTGTGTGTCCAAGAGAGAAGTAGTTATATTGAGATACCCTTTACTGGAAGAAGAAACTTACTGGCACTTTTGGGGGGGGGGGTTATTGGGAAGGAGCAATCATGTAAAAAAAAAAATCTACTCGTAGAAGAAAATAAAACTGATTTTGGAATAAAGCTGTAATCCACAGCGGATGGGCAAACATCCTTGGTCCTGCTGCAGCTTTTTCTCCGTATCATATGCTAGTGTTGGCAAACCTTTTCGGCATGCGTTTTGGCACACGCATGCTCATTTGCCACCTGGTCTTCACACGCCGGAAACCAGAAGATCATCTTCCTGGCACATGCATGCACACCAGGCGGCTGCTAATATTAGATATCGCTAATCATCGTAGAACCGATTTCATGAAGTTATGTTACAAATTATCATCCGTGTATTAATCACTATCGTCCCCAAAATAATTTATAGATAGATAGATAGATAGATAGATAGAGAGAGAGAGATAGAGAGATAGAGATAGATAGAGAGAGAGAGAGAGAGAGAGAGAGAGAGAGAGAGAGAGAGAGAGATGAGGATAGCGATAGAGATAGAGATATATAGACATATAGACATATATTAAGGCCTTAGTTTGTCAAAATGCTTAGGAGGAATTTAGTATATCTTAGCGCCACCTACTGATTAATTCTTTATACCTATCTTTTCTTATGTGTTTTTCTTATTCATGTTCTTCATTAAAAAGATGTTCAGGCTTGTAGGTACGATAAATGTTTCAGAGAATCTGAAAAACCATCAGTTGGAAGCTACCACCGTGCTTGACACTTAAAAGTCCGGCATTCGGCATTTTTTCCCCCCAGTATCAGAACTGAACAGAGATAGTAGTCCTTTCATAAAAACCTGTTCTTCCTGAAAGTCTGTAGAGATTCTCAGTCATCCAGGTCATGGTTGTCCCAAAGGTGTTTTTTTTCTTTTCTTATTTTTAATATCATTTTTATTCAGCATTTTTAAACACTAAAATCACAATTACACTTTTACAGCTTTCCGCAATCGGTATTCTTTTTTCTAATTCCTACTTTTCCATTCTATAGCCTATTGTTTCATACGTATACCTCCTTGTTTCATGGTTATTATTTTTAGAGTATATACAACATATATACAACATTTACATCTCCATTGGTTTCTGAATATATACCATCTCCTTTTGTTATATTTTCTAAACACTCATTATGCATTAATTTTACATCTCTTTTCAAGCTAATTATACCACCTATTCCATATCTCATAATACTCTGTTTTCTCGTTAATTTATCCATTTCCACGCATTCTAGCACCTTTTTTTTATGATCTCTGTGTTTCAGGGGATGGAAACAAAAAACCAAAGGTGTTTTTTCAAGAGGTGACTGTTTTTCTTTGAAGACGTTTCACTTCTCAGCCAAGAAGCTTCAACAGTTCTGACTGGATGGTGGGGAATGAAAGGACTTATAAACCCTTTCAGAAGTTCCAAGAAGGCTCCACACACTCCTCGGGTGACCCTGAGGACACAGATAAACCTCCAAATGCTTCAACAACCCTCTAAAGGGATGCAAATGACCAGCTGTCTGCAAGGAATATATATCCTTCCATTCCCCACTATTCTGTCAGAGCTGAAGAAGCTTCTTGGATCATAAGCGAAATGTCTTTTTAAAAAAAAGAAAAAACCAAGAAGGTCCAGCTGCCTCCTGAAAAAGCACTTTTGGGACATGTGCTTCCTGAATATTCTCCAAGCTTTTTCGTGGGATAGTTTAGTTTTGGGTCACAAAAGGAACTCCTTTGCTGCTGGTTTTGCTAAATGTCTGGGATCCAGAAAGCCTGACCATTTCCATCAAAGGAACTGAGTTGTTTTGCCATTGTTAAGGGCGAAAGCATCAAGGAGAGAAGGCCTATTTTCTTTCAGAACTTATTCTTTTAGTTTCTGTTAAGCTGCATATCTGCCCTGCTTTGAAAGATGTTCCATTTTAGTATTTCAAATAATGGGAAAATATGAGGAAATAAATTTATTTTTGGCTGTCTCTTGGGCTGTCTGTCATATCTTTAGATCAGTGGTGGGCTTCACATTTTGCTACCACCGGTCCGCCGTGCTTGTGCTTGCTTCGCAAGTGCATGTACTCCTTCCGCGCATACACCCAGCCTTCCGCTCATGCGCTTTGCTCATGTGTGTGCCTTCCACGCATGTGCCCAGCCTCAAAAACGTGCCTAAATAGGATGGCATAAAGCTGGGGCGGGGTGGGTGGGTCACCTGCGATTTCTGCTACCGGTTCAGGTGAACTGGTCCAAACTGACTGAATCCCACCTTTGCTTTAGATAGAAATTACACAAATATTTTGGGCCAAACTTCTAAGCGATATGACATTTGAGGCTTTATAGGTGTAGGAAAAATAATAGGACATGAAAACCTGGGCCTCTTTAGGCTTAAGGTGATTTCCCCTGTGCTTTTTCAGAGAGCCGTGGTGGCGCAGTGGTTAAATGCAGCACTGCAGGCTACTTCAGCTGACTGCAGTTCTGCAGTTCTGCAGTTCAGCGGTTCAAATCTCACCAGCTCAAGGTTGACTCAGCCTTCCATCCTTCCGAGGTGGGTAAAATGAGGACCCGGATTGTTGGGGGCAATATGCTGACTNGGAGATGAGCACCGCCCCCTAGAGTCGGGAACGACTAGCATGTATGTGTGAGGGGAACCTTTACCTTTACCTGTGAGATTCCTCCCTGCAAACACCAGGGAGATCAGCGTAGTGCTGTGATGGCGAACTTATGGCACACGTGCCACAGGTGGCACGCAGAGCCCTCTCTGTGGTCACGCGAGCCATCGGCCTAGTTCAGTTCCACCATGTATTTGTCCACGTTCCCACCGTAAAGCTGATTTTCGAGTCTCTGCTGAGCATGCATGGGGGGTGGCACATGTGCAGTGGTCATGTGTGCATGCCCAGAGTTGCATGTGCATGCAGGGGATGGGGAGCATGCAGGGGTCACGTGTGCCTGTGTGGTGGGTGGGGCGTGTGCACAGGGGTTTGCACTTGCATTCACAGGGAAGGGGGCATGGGGGGGGCGTGCATTGCATTATGAGTGCGGGCTTGCACACTTTTGGCACTTGGCACAAAAAATATTAGCCATCACTGGCATAGTGTCTAATTTTCTAGCTACCGTGCCACTCTGTAATTGCCGCAGCTCTCACGTTTTGTGTGAAATTATGTGCTCTTTTCTTCAAAGCATTGTAGACCCTCTCCTGGCAGGTGTTTATGGGGGATAATAAGGGCAAGAAGAGTTTGAAGTTGGCCTTGAAGGGTTTCTTTGGAAAGAAAAACCGGTGCCACGCTGTTGACTTGATTAGATGTTTGTTTCAGATCAGGAGTGGCTTGTGAAGCTCAGAAACAATGTTTGCAGCTCCCTTGGGCCCGCCTCCCATCCTTGTTCCCTTCTCCCCACTGTGGCATCTGCCTAAGCAGCTGTGAAAATCTGGAGTGGGATGCAGCAAACAGGGTTTTTTTCTGCCTTCTTCTACCAGCAGGAGTGTGAACTTGTGTTGATTGTTGATGATCAAATAGCGGAGCTTGTGTTTGAAACTGGTGAACCTACGGGCTTTAAACCTTTTAGACAATAGGTTTAAAGATAAAACGGATGAAAAGATACACAGGGCTTTTACCCTGCTGAATTGAGGAGAAATGGGGAGTGGGTGGAAGCGCAGAATGTTAACAGCAGGTGTGTCTTGCGCTTGTGATTTATAGGTACTCCATGAAGATGCAAAGTGTTGTCTGGTTTTTTTTTTTTTTTTAAAGGAGATTCTAGATTTTCCAAGATAAACTTTCAGGAGTGTGCCTTGGAGCACAGTGCCCGTAATATGATAAAACTGGGCAAAGGACTTGCCAAGGGGCAAGAAGATGACCTCTTGCCAGTTTATCCCCAATTCATTTGTAAAGGAAATAACATTTGGGTGTTTTGGAATCATTTGCGTGAATTGTTAGAGCAGTTTCTCCACCACTTTCAAGAGGCATAGATTTCAATTCTCGGCATGCCGCTGTGATACAATTGTGTTGTTGCAAATAATAATTATTATTATTAACAACAACAACAATAACAATAACAATGATAATAATACACTGGAATATTGGCAAGAAATATCATTTGTCTACAAGCAAGAACTGGTGAGAAAGTAATAGGAAATGAAGTTAAATTGCTCTAGGACTTTAGAATTCAAACAGACAGGCACATTACACCCCACATAACACCACAGACTTAACAGTTGTCAATAAGAAAGACAAAAAAG